TATTTATTTATATACTTCAGTATTAAATTCGCTAAAAAAATTCTTAAAAAGTATGTACAGGGGGTGAGGGACTGGGAGCCCTGCCGTGGGGCAGGGTGGTGATGGGGAAGGGCAACCCTCAGCTGGCTCCCCCAATTCCAACCCTGGTCTTTCTGCCTCTTCTAACTCTATCTGTTCCGAAAAAAAACCCTTTACATGCACACGCGCACACCCACATGCTCTGCTGTGAGCCCAGGACCCCATCCTCCTGACCTCTGAGACCCCCATCACTCCCCAAGAGCCCCCCTCAGGACCAGCCTCACTTGGACCCCAGAGGGCCCAAGGGGTGACAGAGACCAGAGCACAGGGCCAGGAGAGGGGTATGGGCCACCCTGGCCACCTTCTGACCATGGGTTGTGAAGTTGCTCTGGGACTCATCTGAACCTGTTCTCTAGCTGTGCGGTGGAGTCCCCCGGCCTTGCCTACCCAGCCCCCAGGCACAGGGATAGACAAGGGACACAGACAGGAAGGCGCTTTGGAGATGTGGAAGCACTGGGAGATGGTACATGGGTCCTGAGAGCACCTGGGCACCTCAACTCCCCAGGCCCCCCAGGCCGGCCCCTCTCTAAGCCGAGCCTGGAGCTAGAATGACCAGAGGGCTATTAGGGGGACAGGGCTCCTGACTGCACACACATCCCAGGCAGCCTCCCCTCTCCACCTGGCTCCAGTGGGGAAGGGGTGGGACAGGGAGGCAGAGGGGCTGGGAGCATGCAGCGCCCCCCACGGGTCATGGGGAGGGGTAGACAGTTGCTCCTCCAGCACCATTTATTAAAGAGGCTATCTTTCCTCCAGTGAGGGTGTTTGGCTCCTTTGTCAAATATGAGGTGGCTGAGTGTGTCTGGAGTTGTTTCTGTATCTTCTAATCTGTTCCACTGATCCTCAGGTCTGTTTCTTTGCCAGTACCATCCTGGTTTTATCATAGTAGCTTTGTAGTATAGTTTCAGGTTGGGGGTTGTAATACCCCTTGCCATGTCTCTGTTACCTAGAATTGCTTTTGCTATTCTGGGTCTCTTCTTGTTCCAAATGAATTTTTGG